AAATCTAGGAAAGCTGATCTAAATGTGAATGCCTTCAGCAGGTGCCAAAAGTGAAAGCACCTGCCTGATATCAATAGGCAGGGAGTTCCAAAGTGTCCGTGTCGCCACATTAAACAATTCAGTCCTTACAGATGCAGTGCAGATAAAGGGGCTAATTCTGGCAATCAAGGCAGTCAAAAGTGGGCAAATGCAAGGCAATACAATATCGTTGGTGAACTGGTCCCAAGTTGTTAAAGGCTGTGTTTACTAATCGTAGCACCCTGAACTCAGCCCAGTAGCAAATCAGCAGGTCATCTTACACACCTCTGAGCACAGATGTTCTATGGGGTTTTCCCCATGTTATTTGCTTGCTCAAAGGAGTCAGCCCAGGGGTGGGAAAACTTTTACAACCCCAGGTCTGCATTCTCTTATGGGGAGCCTTCAGGGGAGCCACATGCCAATGTGAGTGAGACCAGAGGCAAAAGTGGGAGGGGCAATGAATGTGCCTCTTACCTTTCTACAGCAGGTTGCATTCCAGTCTGAAATTTTTCTACACAGATGTGTGCGCGTGCACATGCACACACACACACACCTGCATCAATCAACTGGCTTGCCAGTAGTACATGCAAAAAGGATCTAGGGGTCTTAGTAGACTACAAGCTTAAGATGAGTGTGATGCAGCAGCAAAAGACAAAAAATGCTAACAAGGATTAAGGTTTCCTTCCTTCCTTCCATTTCTCTGGGTGGGGGGGGGCAAGCAACAGAGGCAGCCATTCCTCCACTTAGCACCTTACCTGAGGCTGCCTTTGTTATGTTTTTCTACCCAATAACACAACTCTGATGGCAGAAAGTGAGGAGGAATTAAAGAACCTCTTAATGAGGGTGAAAGAGGAGAGCGCAAAATATGGTCTGAAGCTCAACATCAAAAAAACTAAGATCATGGCCACTGCTCCCATCACCTCCTGGCAAATAGAAGGGGGAAAAATGGAGGCAGTGAGAGATTTTACTTTCTTGGGCCCCATGATCACTGCAGATGGTGACAGCAGTCACAAAATTAAAAGTCGCCTGCTTCTTGGGAGAAAAGTGATGACAAACCTAGACAGCATCTTAAAAAGCAGAGACATCACCTTGCTGACAAAGGTCCATATAGTAAAAGCTATGGTTTTCCCAGTAGTGATGCATGGAAGTGAGAGCTGGACCATAAAGAAGGCTGATTGCCGAAGAATGGATGTTTTTGAATTATGGTGCTGGAGGAGACTCTTGAGAGTCCCATGGACTGCAAGAAGATCAAACCTATCCATTCTGAAGGAAATCAGCCCTGAGTGCTCACTGGAAGGACAGATCCTGAAGCTGAGGCTCCAGTACTTTGGCCACCTCATGAGAAGAGAAGACTCCCTGGAAAAGACCCTGATGTTGGGAAAGGTTGAGGGCACAAGGAGAAGGGGATGACAGAGGATGAGATGGTTGGACAGTGTTCTCGAAGCTACCAGCATGAGTTTGACCAAACTGCGGGAGGCAGTGGAAGACAGGAGTGCCTGGCATGCTCTGGTCCTTGGGGTCACGAAGAGTCGGACAAAACTAAACAACTAAACAACAACAACATTTACCTGTATTTCTTAGTGTCGCAACAAGGATAATGCATGCCTGCGACCTCAGATTAAGTAAGTAAATCATTTTTAAACTTACTTCAGAGTGTGCTCTGTTTCATTGCATGAAGGTAGAAAGGGAGCCAGCTCCCTCAAGCAGCTGGAACATAATGAATGAAGGTTTAATATCCTATTCCTATGCTTCATTAATAATGAAGGGATTTAAACACTCCTACTGAGGCTCTCTGTGTGTAAACCCTGTGGTTTTAAAACAGGCACTAGCCTGTTTTTTTCCTTTGCTAGTTAATCCACCTGAGGGTGGCATGGAGAAAAGCAGGTAAGAGGCGTAGCCTGGGGTAGGAGCATGACCAAGGGAGTGTTATAAGAGCAAATCAGAAGGTCTGGGGAGCCACATTCAATTCCCCGCCCCCCTTGTTTTAGCTCCAAAAGGGCTTCTGGTGCAATTTACAATGATCTGAAGACAGTCCCTGCTCTCTGGATTTACAGTCCAAAGGACATGACACAAAAGGAAAAGGAGGGGAAAGAAAAATGGGAAATGCAAGCACCAGTTCATGAAGCTACAATCTTCTCAGGTTGCTGTTTTTAATGATCAAAACATATCTGCATATGTGTTGAGAAGATGTGTTTAGCAATGTGTGTTTTGAGAGCTAATACATTTAGAATTTCATATTCTGAGAAGAAATGGTTCTATTAACAGGAATTTAAAAGCAGGTTTCCATGTGTATGGTTTTTTTTTAAGAAAACAAAATGTGCTGGTTAATGCAGAAATGGAAGAGAACAAGGGGCAGATCCAACATTCTCTATCCACTAATGCAAGATCCCTTGTGCCAGCAGATGACAGATTTTAAACTGCGCACAGCAAAATAATCCAACACAACAACTGTGTTACTGGTTGCTTGTTGTGCAACCGCTAGTTCATATTGTGCAATCCATCACACAAGACTCTTTGGCAATGTACTTGTTGCACTGGCAGAACACTGTTGTGCAAGGGAAAACACAAGTATAGCAGTAAGTGACTAAGTTAGCGCTACATTGGATGCAAACCAGGACTATCGGAGAACACGTGTAAAACTGAAGTGGACCCAAAACAGAGTGATTTGCCCATCCCTATTCCCAATGTACGCCGAAGAATTGATGCTTTTGAATTGTGGTGCTGGAGGAGACTCTTGAGAGTCCCATGGACTGCAAGAAGATCAAACCTCTCCATTCTTAAGGAAATCAGCCCTGAGTGCTCACTGGAAGGACAGATCCTGAAGCTGAGGCTCCAGTACTTTGGCCACCTCATGAGAAGAGAAGACTCCCTGGAAAAGACCCTGGTGTTGGAAAAGATGGAGGGCACAAGGAGAAGGGGATGACAGAGGACAAGATGGTTGGACAGTGTTCTCGAAGCTACCAGCATGAGTTTGACCAGACTGCGGGAGGCAGTGGAAGACAGGAGTGCCTGGCGTGCTCTGGTCCATGGGGTCACGAAGAGTCGGACACGACTAAACGACTAAACAACAATTTCTACTGTAATGCTTCAATTTTAAAAAGAGAGAGATAAGAAACCCAGGAAATTCAGAACTCCACAATATGGAGAGAATTTCCTTGATGAGAATTGCAAAAGGATCTGCAGCTGGCATTTGAATTTTCTCTTTGACAACAAGCTGATGCGCCTTCTGAACATAGCATGCTTAACAATCTGTATGTGATAGGTGGGTGCAGAAATATAGAGCATTCACTCAGAGAGAGAAAGAGAGAGAGTGGTGTGTGTGTGTGTGTTATAATGTTTCGCCTTATAAAATAGCACATTACTCATGGCTATGGGATCCAGTGGTCTAAAGTGGCCCAAATAGAAACAAGGAAGATAAGACTTTGGAATTAGAAATAAAGGCATCAGAAGGAGAGGTGGAAAAGAACAGGCAGCAAGGATGACCAGAAAACATAAGCAACAATTAATAAACATATAAACGGATGTCACTCACCTGTCGCTTCCCCAGACCACAGCCTAGCTATTAATTATTCCAATCACAATGATGATATAGCTACATAATTGCTGTAATTGGTTCTTGATTCAGCTCCTAAATGTATGTGTGTGTGCTTAAGAGATAATGCATGTTTTAAAATATTTTCTAAATGATCCACAATTACACTGATAATTTGCCTTTGATCATTCATGTTTTTGTTCCTAGAGTGTTACTCCCACTTCTTTTCTTTTCCAGATTGGGAAGCTTTGACAAGCATAATTCTTACCTCCCCAGAACAATGCCAGCGAGGCAGCCTTTGTCTTGCGGAGGGGAAGGAATGGATGCAAATGAGGTTCAGTGTCAAGGGGGGGGCGGCTTTTAAAAATAATAATAATGATGGGGAGAAGAAGGGATGTCAGAGAATTCTAACAGAAATGGGAGCAGAAATTGCTGGTGTCTGCTTATTCATCCATTCTTTGGGACACAAATGAATCAAGTGAATTAGTATCCTCTACAATTGTTTTTGTTTTTAGTCCACAAATTATACCTGTATGTTTCTGCTCCAAGCTGCATACAGTTTTGCTCAGTTTGCTCTAAGATTACATCCACAAGCTCCTTTAATACCCTTGGATGCAGATCACCAGGCCCTGGAAATTTGAATTCATTTTGAGAAGTGTTCACTGAGAGCCAGTGTGGTGTAGTGGTTAAGAGCAGTAGACTCGTAATCTGGGGAACCGGGTTCGCTTCCCCACTCCTCCACATGTAGCTGCTGGGTGACCTTGGGCTAGTCACACTTCTCTGAAGTCTCTCAGCCTCACTCACCTCACAGAGTGTTTGTTGTGGGGGAGGAAGGGAAAGGAGAATGTTAGCCTCTTTGAGACTCCTTTGGGTAGTGATAAAGCGGGATATCAAATCCAAACTCCTCCTCCTCTTCTATCTGCAGCTCCCTCCTTGCATCACTTACAGTGGTACCTTGTATTATGACCAGGATCCGTTCCGGAGCCCTGGCTGCTAGCCAAAAAGGATTCAGGATCTGCGCACACGCGTGGAGCGGTTTGTGCTTCTGCGCATGCACAACCGGCAAACCCAGAAGTAACCTGTTCTGGTACTTCCGGGTTTGCCGTGGATGTTCGCCGGAATGGACGCTAGACGAGGCGGACGTTCACGGAGATATTACTGTATTCTGTTATCACTAGTTTGAGTGCTGCTGTTCTTTTGGGTGAAGACAGAGGCAAAGTAAGTGTTGAGAAGTTCCACCTTCTCTCTGTCACCCAATAGCATTTGTGCACATTTTGAATGCCAACTCTTTAGAAAGACCCCTTTTCACCCATTTTAGTTTAAAGGAAGGAGAAAAAATATAAACACAAAGAGCCCTGCTGGGCCAGGGCAAAGGTCCACCCTGTTCTCAACAGTGATCAAAGGAGATGCCTATAGGAAGCCTGCCAAAATAAATAAAAAAATTGCTTACCCCATCCAATTCCGTAGTAGTATAAATGCTTGCTTTCTTCAGATCCAAACACTTTGATCACCATACTGTAGAGATGAAATCCTTCCACTAGCATCCATGCAAAAGCACTCAAGAAGAAGAAATGGAGGAGAACGGCAAGGATTTTGCAGGGCACCTAAAAAGTGGAAGCAAGCAAATAAATATCAAAATGCACAGATATGTCAAAACTGTTGGTGCAAAAATCCAAAAACAAAACTATATAGGAAGGAGAATTCCTGAATGCCAAGATCCAAATTTGGGGCAAGTATTCTTTGGTGAGAGAACCCCAGCAGAGATTTAAGGTCACAAGATATGCAACCAAGTAAAACATGAAAATATGATCTTTAAATTACATTTTTTTTGAAAGTTAGGTACATGTGCTTCAGAAAAGTTGCAGAGGCAGTAAAACTTAGTTACAAAGTAGTACAAAGTAGTAACAAAGTTCCTAGGTTATTGGTATAGGAACTCAAGAGTGGCTGGTGAGAGCCATATGGTTGAGCTGAAGCAATCAGCTCAAACATTTTCACATGATGAGCTTCTCAAAAGACTGGGGTGGGAATAATAGGCTGGATTACCTATTTCCTCCCAAAATAAGGGAAGTGACACAACTAAGCCTGACAGGACAGCTTACTTTATGGTGTTAACCCTTTCATGCATTAATTAGACTTAAGCATGTTGGTTTTACTGGGAATAGTGATCCCATAAAACCATCTAATGCATCATTTCCAACAGTATTTATTACAATACACATACCAAATGCCTGAACTGTGTCACATACATTTTCTCAGCAATTCCTCCAGCTCCCATGTTTTCATCCTTATAGATGCAAAGACTGAAGCTCATACTATCTTGCTTAAGGACTGTATCCTGTCCGGAAAGTTTATTACTGCTCTTAGGTATGAACTACGGCTGAGGTTAAAGAGCCGCCTCTTGGAGGCTGCAAAGGTAACAGGGGTGGATATGAAGCTGCCTTATACCATCAGACAATAGGTCTATCTAGCTCAGGACTGCCTGCACTGGCTGGCAGCAGCTTTCCAGGCTTTCAGAGAGCGGTCTGCCCCAGCCCTAGTTGGAGATGGCAGGGACTGAACCAGGGACTTTCTGCATGCAAAGCAGATGTTGTGCCACTGAGCTATGGATGAATCTGTCAATTTTTGTTTCCCATAGATTCTCATTTCCCCCCATTTTAAATTCAGTTCTCCACATTTCCACAGCAATTTCCATTTGTGAATATCTCCTAAGAGAAATGTATTTTTCAAATGTATTTTTAACTAAAATACACGTTTTTGGAAGCAATTTACCCTGGTGTATGCATTTTTGTATACAGTACTGTTTGATTGGAGGACTGCATTGCAAAATTCAGAGAAGTGTGGATTTTGAGGATTAGATGTATTTTGGTTCACACACTGGCTCAAGTTGAATGAATTAGGTAGTCTGCCATTGAAATGAAAAAAAAATAAAATTTATCCCCTCTCCCTAAATGCTGCGTATATGTTCCCCATTTGTAGGTGTTCTGAGGAAGGTCTTACGAAACTGGGGAAAGGTTGCTCACTGAACTGGGGAGCACCACAGCATTACCTAAGGACCACAGTGGTGCATCTTGTTCTTCCCACTCTCTAACGCGTCCTTTCAACTTAGCACAGGAAGCTAGACAAATGTCCCGATGTTGCCTGAGCAACTAAACAGCTCTTTCTCTCTTACAACAGATTCCAGTTTTCTAGGCAACACTGGAATTCTTGTTCTCACTTCCCATAATGCTCCAGAAGTGCCAGAACCTAGGTAAGCAACCCTGAGTTGCCTGGGAAAGTGGGCAATACTTGCTCCTTTGCAGATGCTCACTCCCTGGAAGAGGGCGAGCGTTACCTTGTTACCTAGACAACACTGGAATGCTTCCTCTCTTTCTGCAAGACTGGGACTTAGGCAAGGATCCCAAAGTTGCCTAAGCAACTGAGTGGCTATCCCCTTTGGCTGCAACATACCACCTGAGTCCTTTCCACAATGAGACAGAAATCTTCATAGTGGATCATTGTGGATGCAGATAAAAATAAGCATTTGAAGCATTCAACAGAATTCCATGAAGTGTTTATTTGAGGTGGTGGACAGATCCTAATTTGAACTGTATTAGTTATCCCAGACTGGACAAATGGGCACACATACACACCAGTCCAAAATGGATATACTGATGGAGGAAAAAGAAAGTGTTCATTCAGAAACATCCTAAGAGCCTTTCTCTGCATTTGTTTCATTTCAATATTTTTGCCCCACTTTCCTGGCAATTGTATCTCAAAGTGTCTCGCATCAATAAAAGGGAGAGCATGAGTGAGTCAGCAAATGAGCGAATGAGAAAGAGAGGTCCTGCCATCACATTTATAAATGAGAAAGAAAAGATACACAAAGGAAAGAGAGAAGAGGAAGAGAAGGAGAAGGAGAAGGAAGATCTGTTCTTCAAGGTCAGAAGAAAAGAGTGAACTTCAAGAATTTATATCCAGCTTCAGGAATGATTCATCTGCTGTTGCTGGTGTTCTTGCTTGAATAGTAGCTGGAGACTCTTGTTCCTTGGGCTGCTGGATGGTGCTAAACTTGCTTACTTCTGCAGTCCCAGGGCCTCTGGTACTTAGAACTGTGTATTTCTTTCATGCAGGGAGGCAGCAGGAACGCCCCATACACACAGAGGTGCTCCCTCTCTGGTCTGATGGTTGAGGTCAGTTTGGTCTCCTAGATACCATAAGGCTCTTCCTGAAAGGTTGGTACAGTGCAGGAGATTCCAGCTGCTTTGAAAAAGGTGAGGGTGTGGCCACTCCTAAAGAAACCACTCCTTCATTGGAGGTTCTTAAACAGAGACATCACCTTGCCGACAAAGGTCCGTATAGTTAAAGCTATGGTTTTCCCAGTAGTGATGTAGGGAAGTGAGAGCTGGACCATAAGAGAGCTGGCTGATCGCCGAAGAATTGATGCTTTTGAATTATGGTGCTGGAGGAGACCCTTGAGAGTCCCATGGACTGCAAGAAGATTAAACCTATCCATTCTGAAGGAAATCAGCCCTGAGTGCTCACTGGAAGGACAGATTGTGAAGCTGAGGCTCCAATACTTTGGCCACCTCATGAGAAGAGAAGACTCCCTGGAAAAGACCCAGATGCTGGGAAAGATTGAGGGCACAAGAGAAGGGGAAGACAGAGGATGAGATGGTTGGACAGTGTTCTCGAAGCTACTAACATGAGTTTGACCAAACTGCGGGAGGCAGTGGAAGACAGAAGTGCCTGATGTGCTCTGGTCCATGGGGGTCACAAAGAGTCGGACACAACTAAACAACAACAACAACAAAAGTTTGGATGGCCATCTGTCAGGGATTCTTAAGCTGTGATTCCTACATTGTGGAGAGTTGGACTAGATGACCCTCCGGCTCCCTTCCAGCTGTGCAGTTCTATGATATTATAATTTCACCTCAAAGAGATCATTACAGCTTTTCTGCCCAAGCTCCCCTTTTCCTGCATGCCGGTCCAGCTTGGTCAAAACAGCCAAGCTTAAAAAGTGGGTTGTGTACTGCTACGCCCTCCTCATGCAGGCATGTGTGGTGTGTTTGTTTCCGTCTTGTGCTCATTGCATTCCCTTCTCGAGTGGGTTTTCTGACTGTAACTTGTTTCCGAGTGACTGCTGGAGCTCTTCCTTCAAGAGACCATTGTGGTGGGATTGAATCAAGGATTTCTCTGCAGTCCACCTTGCCTGGCTTTCTGTTCAAATGGGTTGCAGACACAGCTTCCCCACTGCATTGAGAATGGTTGTTTTGCTTTGCTGGGGCAAAAGACAAAAGAATGCATTTTCCTCAGAAAAATGATTCATGTTATTACAATCCATGAAAGCCAGAGGTTTTCTCCCTTTGTGTGTAGTTTTGTTTTGAATTCATCAAAAGGGAAAACAAAAGAATAACAAATCCTATTCTTCAGCAAGATGATGTCACCATCAACACCTCCCTGTTCCTCAAGTAACACACAGGGTATAATTCTCCTTGACCTCAATTACTTTAAAATGCAGGCAGGGGTGGAGAGAAGAGTTATTCCATTTTACAGAAAGCAGAAAGCATTCAGCACACCCCCTCTGAGATCTACAAGGTCTCCACAGGCAGGAAATTTTTGTAAAGGTGTTCAGAATTGAACCAGGATGTCCCTGGGGGTGGAAGTACCTCAGACAGTGTGAACCTGCCACTCAACACCTGTGTCAATCAGGCCTGTGGTCAGAATGCAGCACCCACAGGCAGCTGAAGGGACTCAGGGCCCCTGCAAGCTCACCCTTGGTGCTTGCCTTTGGTGAAAACAGAGAATAAATTTGTTTAATACACATTTTACAGTGAACGGGCCTAATTCTCTTGTGTGGATTGGAAAGCATCTCTCAATCAGATGGCACAATCCTCTGAATTTTGCTATGCAGTTCCACAGAAATGTATATTTTATTGGGAGAAGACACTCAAAAATGGGTATTTTATGTGAAAGTACAAAGATGTGTGTTTTAGCAGAATATGTATACAAAATGCACATAACATGAGTATAATTTAATTGCAATGTTTTGTGTGGTTTTTCAATCCACCCAAAAGCGAATGGATCTCTGGGAGCATGTAATAACGGCACAGGACAAAAATAGGCTGATCTGTCCATCCTTGGTCCTTTCCCTTTAAAAAAGAATGGTGCAGTGGTCAGCACCAAATGACCAGATCTGAGAGAGACCCTTGCAGCGCCACTGATTTTTTTGAGGAAAATGTCCTCAAGTCAGGAGAAGAGTTGGAAATCAAAATGGCAGCTCATAACACTGATCGGAGCACTTTTGCTAGAGTTCCCTGATGCCGCAAGGTGGGGTCACCAGAACTCAACATGAAAGGGGCTTACCAGCAGGCACTTTGCTGGGGGGGGGGTCTCCTCAACTTTGGAGGCTGATGTCCATTGAGACTGGTAGGGCTGAAAGCAGAAAGTCCACCACATGGCGGATGCAGAGCAAATGACAAGTGGAGCCAACTAATTCTTGTTTTGTCCTCCTGCTGCTGCCTGCTGAGTTTTAGAAGGATCAACAGTGAGAGACTAAGGAGTAGGAAGCTGACAGGCTGCATGATCCCTCACACTGGACTGGTTGTACCTGTGAAGGTAGGCAGGT